GGTCGTTATAAAAGTATTAAAAATAACTGTAAATTGAAGAGGGCAGACATTGTGATACACACTGAACGCAAATAACACATATGATAAAACAAACAGCACAGTGGCCTGTACAATACAAGGCTCTGTTAAACCTATGGCTTGTACTATATATGACTCTGTTATACATGTGGCTTGTACCATATATGGCTATGTTATACCTGTGGCATGTACATTTATACCTGTGGCCTGTACCATATATGGCTCTGTTATACCTGTGACATGTACATTTATACCTGTGGCCTGTACCATATTTGGTTCTGTTATATCTGTTGCTTGTACCATATATGGTTCTGTTATGCCTGTGGCCAGTGCCATATATGGTTCTGTTATACCAGTGGCCTGTACCATATATGGTTCTGTTATACCTGTGGCCTGTACCATATATGGTTCTGTTATACCTGTGGCCTGTACCATATATGGTTCTGTTATACCAGTGGCATGTACCATATATGATTCTGTTATACCTGTGGCATGCACCATGTATGGCTCTGGTATACCTGTGGCATGTATATTAATACTGTGGCCTGTACCATATATGGTTCTGTTATACCTATTGCATGTACCATATATGGTTCTGTTATACCAGTGACCTGCACCATATATGACTCTGTTATACCTGTGGCCTGTACCATATATGGTTCTGTTATACCAGTGGTCTATACGATATATGGTTCTGTTATACCAGTGGCCTGTACCATATATGGCTCTGTTATACCAGTGGCCTGTACCATATATGGTTCTGTTATACCTGTGGCTTGTACCATATATGGTTCATTTATACCAGTGGCCTATACCATATATGGCTCTGTTATACCTGTGGCCTGTACCATATATGGCTCTGTTATACCTGTGGCATGCACCTTGTATGGCTCTGATATACCAGTGGACTCTACTATATATGGCTCTATTATACCAGTGGCTTGTACCATGTATGGCTCTGATATATCATTATACCAGTGGCCTGTACCATATATGGCTCTGTTATACCAGTGGCCTGTACCAGATATGGCTCTGTTATACCAGTGGCCTGTACCATATATGGCTCTGTTATACCAGTGGCCTGTACCAGATATGGCTCTGTTATACCAGTGGCCTGTACCATATATGGCTCTGTTATACCAGTGGCCTGTACCAGATATGGCTCTGTTATACCAGTGGCCTGTACCAGATATGGCTCTGTTATACCAGTGGCCTGTACCATATATGGCTCTGTTATACCAGTGGCCTGTACCATATATGGCTCTGTTATACCAGTGGCCTGTACCATATATGGCTCTGTTATACCAGTGGCCTGTACCAGATATGGCTCTGTTATACCAGTGGCCTGTACCATATATGGCTCTGTTATACCAGTGGCCTGTACCATATATGGCTCTGTTATACCAGTGGCCTGTACCAGATATGGCTCTGTTATACCAGTGGCCTGTACCATATATGGCTCTGTTATACCTGTGGCCTGTACCATATATGGCTCTGTTATACCAGTGGCCTGTACCATATATGGCTCTGTTATACCTAAGAAACGAAAGTTTAGATTGAAGCATCCGCTAGACACCCGTTGTTAGTAAGGTAGACAAAGGCCAAATAGTTAATGTTTATTTGTGTGTAAACATATTCCCAATTAGGATACACAACAGACTAACATTTCATTTTTATGACAACTGTCAATCACAAGGACATGGATATATATGTAAATTTATTTGTCAAAGTGTTTTTTGAAATCCTACTCTTTATAACCGTGTGGCGATAAGGACATATATGTTTCCATATTAATTTCAGTGTCATTCTTTCCGTCCGTCACCTTCCAAGTCTTGTGTCATATTACATCCAGTTAAGTAGTCAAGTTCTTACAATTCCATTTTCACACCATGTAGAGTTTTCAAGGTGTGTTAACGTCGAGAAGAAAGGTGTTGTGGGCAGCACCTGTCTTTTCTCACCTGGTATATCTCACGTGCTAAGTTATGTTAGCTTGATACCTCATTAAAAGAAAATAATGCAGTACTTTTATATATATGATAAAACAATAAATTTAGCATTGTTCTCTGTGACTTATGTTAAGTGGGTTAACATTGAGTACCGTTCATATTGTTTCACTAATACGAGAGGCTTAAGGCCGTTGTTAAGCTTGTAAGTACGACACACCTGCGTTCTAATAAGAAGAAAATGATGCTTCTCCTCTTTCAAACACAACCAAAACAAGACATACCCTAAGTATTATCTTGCAAGGTTTTCTTTCATCGTTTATTAAATGGAGAAACGAGAGAGTGTGGACCATAAAGGACGCTGCGGTTGAGCTCGGCTAACCGTGTACACATGTACACAGACTCCGGGTGTTGTATATTATATGAGCGTCTTGTTCTGCGTGTATTATACCTGCTACATTGATGCATTCCTCATTCGTCCAACGAGTTAAATTGTAGATTGACCAGTGGATGTGACGATTAAGCGCGTAAGTACTGACCACTCATGGTCTCCACGACCACATAATGTTTACCAATTACCATGACTTTTTTCTTCAAAACGTCATTAATTTCAGCTGTTGACAGCTATTAATTACGAAAATTCTTGTTCTGTTTTCTGAGACCTCGAGAAGGCGAAAAATGTATTTAGACGAAGTGTTACCTGTTGCCTATATTGATGTTATTGGATAATGTAATGGTACCTCATTGATGACGTCATTTTGTAATTGGAGTCGGGATTCGGGTCGTACATCTATATGGGTATCATATGTATCGTGTTATGACTAATCTTAGGTTTCACTTCCCTAACTCAATGTCAGTGTAAAGAAAGAGACAGCGGTGGGCACCGTCGCCAAAATGATTTTTTTTTCAACTTAATGTTGTCTTGGTAGGTATTGTCTTAATGCCTATATGTAATGTTCTTTTATAAATACATGTTCAACATGAAAGATAATTTATGGCCGACAATGACGGATTAAGAATAGCCATGACACTTGAGTACTAAAGACGAAATACATCCACCCTGAAAAGATTGTTTAAAGCTTGCTTTTCTTTCCATGGCTTAGTTTGTTGGAGGTTTCCCAGAGATAGTTACATTATCGACTTTCATGCCTGTCGTGCATCAAAAAATGTTGAGATGCAACATTCATGATATGCAACAAATACAGAGCTAACATGACAACACGCTTCAGGGTGCCCCGGTTATTAGATAGCAGGTACTTATCACCACAGATTATTGTTAATTCGTTTTCCGAATTCTTCCTATACATCAAGAAAGTTTCAAGTTATGTACCGTGATTTTCATAATTTTTATATAGATTTCCTTTGGAATTTAGGAGAGAAAATACGACATAAGAACTAACAAGCTATTTGATATTTAATCCACAGGCCAAAGGTATTGTCATGTGATATATTCTAATGTCCCAACCACTTTTTCGTTGCACCAAACGTTGCATTGAATGGTTTTACAAGGTAAAGCAGATAAAACCACATGACCGTATCTCATTAATACTGAGTTTCGCTCAGTTGATCTTCTCTAAAAGATCTCTTGTAAGGACAGTATTGTAGCCATGTTCGATATTGTCAATGCTTATTTTTTTTTCAAATTACGCGCCTTTCTATCTTTAACACAGCCCTTGCCAAATACTTCATTTTTCACTCTTGAAATATTGATGACTTGTTCTTAAATACTAAGATTTTTTTAAAATTATTTTTAACACACATATCCACTAGCGTATAAAGTCTACAAAAGACTCTCCTACATCTGGAAATATTGTTTATTTTAATCCTGTGGTTTCCAAAGTAGTATTTTGGTACTGATATTACTTTGTCTGCTATCTCTGTATGGCCGTATTCAGGTATCGAGGTAAACCGTTAGAATACATCAATAAATAAAAACCAGCAGCAATTTGAAGCAATATGCTAATCATGATTTATTATATTTTTTATTTTGAATATTCTGTTTCTTGGTAATACTATTTCTGCTGACCTATTGTGTGTTTACAGGTCGCACGTCTTTCGATATTAAAAGGCTTGTTTTCCATATAACGATTATCATCGAGACCTGATTAATAAACATGGCTTCTTATTTGTGATGGTGAAATAGCTTCCATTGATCTGGAATTTGATAGGGAATTTCACAGTTGAAGTGAAAGACACTTAACCTCTGTAACATGTGGTTTTATTCTTCAGGTACTTTTCAACGACACCCGTGTAAACATTCCCTCTGTTAATGTTACAACAGGTTTTATTTATAATTTTGTTTGTCGGTGTTTCCTTGTCCGTTTGGGGAACAAAAGAGATAATATATATCAGACCTTAGAATTATAATGGTCCTAGTTTATACGCATTTGGTTAAAATTTTGAACAGGGTACATACGTCTACATGGTTTATATCTAACGGATCGAAAAAGGATTAAATATGACTAATACTAAGAAGGTAATTAATACATTGTTTGAAAAAAACCACATACATGCAAACAGCACTGACATTGATGACGTAAGGGGATAATAAGATATCTGTTTTCATTTAAGGACGCACAGTGATTTTAGTATGTCTCGTGCATGTTGATTTGGCAATATCTGCCACTTCTGTGTAACAGATTGTGTCACAGCGTTATTGTTTAACTGTTAGTGGTCTGGTATTATATCATGTAACGGATGACAACGCATTACTATGAATATATTTAGGATCTTGAATGAGGTTTCTTTCCAGACGAGATTTTATAAAAAAAAAAAAAAAAAAACTATTCGAAGAAATTTTTAATTTTGCGAGACTTTAACAAAATTTAAATTGAAAATGTAGAGAGCTGAGGCAACCATTTTGTAGCGCCATTTTTAATGCCTTGCGTAACATTGTTTATTATATGACATCACAATCGATTTCTGACTGTTGCAGTCAGTGAAAAACGCTTCAGGGTAAATTATACCAATGATACATACACAAAAATATTAATTAGGCGGATTATGTGATAAAATATCAATGGTTTCTGTATGTTACAGGATTATGCGGAGAATACTATGAATGAGCTACTTGGTTGGTATGGTTATGACAAAGTAAACAGCGCAGACACAGAACATCTAAACCTAGAGCGCTACACGAGCATTGACGACGTGTGCTCGCCGACGGACGGCGGCAGTCGAGACGACGACAGTATCCTTAGTGACGACGATGAGGACAGCCTCTCCGGGCGAAGTGATTTCTCTAGACTAAGTAAGTACCTCCGCGTAAATAACAATGCGTCACACACATAATTGCAAAATATGCATGGGTTAAAATCGATAATCAATATACAACATTGTTTTTGTAGTAAATAACATAATGGCTGATCAGCTCTACTGCATACACAGTTACAGATTTGCCTTACGTTATGGCAGTAAAATTTGACTATTTGGCAATTTTTACCACCAATCTGTTCTATTGGTTTTTATTCAATAATTATAAGCTATGGTGATATTTCCTACTGCCTTATCGTGTTAAACTCGTCATTTTGTCGGAGTCTGATGAAGCGAATTTCGAATTCAGGTTATGAAATATCCTATCCTCAAATCAGTCATACATTAATGTATCACATTCCAGGAGTAGTTGTTATCTCTGAAGGGTGATATTAGACTGGAGATGACTGCGTGTAAAATTACTTGCAGTGATACGGTAATGTTTCCGTGACGTAAACCGATTGCTGGTCAATAGCAAATGTATAAAACATGTTTACTTACTGTTATATTTTAACAAAAAAATATTCTGGGAAAATATTGGCGTAGTTGTGTTTAATTTTATAGCAGAAAGTCACTTTTCACCAGCATGAACGATTACTCCGCGAGACTCGCCACTCACTTCCTGTGGTGTTCTATGTTTAGAACTATCTATCGCGTGTGCGTATGGTACCTGCCCCAGGAATAATATGGAGATGTAAAGCTCGCGCACTGCGTGCCCCGCGTAAACTGATATCCACGGCATTAGGGGAAATGGTGAAATTTCATCTGCAGCTGTAGGTTTAATTTTTACCACATGCATCGCCATAATGAAAGAGCCAGAGAAAATCCATCCGCGTACAAACACAGGAAGCCCACAAACAGCCTATCATATTTTTTTTTTCTGATTTTACATCCAAACATGACGACAAAGAGTATTGAATTTCAGAAAGATTGTAAGTTCCAGAATCTCATATGCTCTTCTAAAGCTGTGATAGAGGGGCGTTTTGTGCGTTCTACTCCCATGGTAAACCAATTAGAATGAGTCAAGGGGAAAATCAGTAAAGAGGATAAAGAATAACCATACTACTAGAAATTCTATCCTTGGCATGTAACATGGGGTGTATATGTAGAGATAATAGTTATAACCTAATACCCACTACCCTTCTCCCCCGACTTACCAGCCCCCCATCACCAGCTTTATTATATCTCCCAAAGTCAGGCGAATGCATATCATGGAGCAACACATAGAGAAGCTTGGATTTCAGCGTAACTGTAGAGTCGAGGGAAACTCTCGCGTGAAGGAGACTTGCGACGCCTTTATCTGTGTAAAATAAAACAGAATTGTTTCGTAAGAAAGGTTGATATCTCAGAGATATCCTAGATGTTTAACTAATCCCACCTTTTATTACAGAACAATGTTACCAGTCGCACGTAAGAACAACAACTTCCAGAGATCCTTTGTGTTTGATATTTAAACAAAACTAGAACATTATAGAACTACAGTGGTTATTGTCCCATGTTAATAAAGATCTTTAATGTGAATGGCTTGACATATTTTAGATAAACAATTTAACGGGAAATTTGAAAACAATACATAAACAATGATTATTATGAAACGTACAACCTTATCATATGAAACAGATTATTTTGAAATGATCTTCTTCAAGTTTAGACTTATAAGAAACTACATGACAAGCATAACCTTTTTTTAAACGTGAGAATGAAAGTAAATCTGTTGAGAAAAGTAAATGATAGTTTATAATCTGTTTGTACATCGAGCACCGATATGGACTGTTTGTTGTCATGCTTACTGATGATTAGAAAACAGGAATGTATATGCTACATTTCAACCGTTCGTTTTTTATTTTTGGTTTTTTGAAAACGTTGCAATTTGTATAAGGTTTTCCGTCATAAATGTATTGAAGGCACCTTGCATATGAAACGTCATCTACCTCATTAAAATCATGGGTTTTTTTTCCCTTTTTTCAAAAATCCTATTGTCTTTGTCACCGGCGTGCTCTTTAATGTGCGTGCTCTATTTCAATGGTGACGTCTATTTTAGGGATAGTCTTGTCAATTTATATTAATATACTGTCTTGTTAGACATTGGTAGGCTAGTTAGGGGCGTAAATCAATACGGTTCTCCTGTCTCGCTGGTAGGAGAACGTTCGTTTTGTAACCTGAGAGGATCAGTCGCTGTAATGAAAGTGTCATGGACGTCGAAAAAAAATGATATTTCCTTTCCACGTAAATGTCAGTAGAATTTCAACGTCGTCTAATTATTTGGGAATTTGAAGGTTGATTGTCACATTTGAATAATCTATTTTGTCTGCCGTCAGAAATTTAGTGTTGAGGACAGATGGGGTATTGTATATCGGACAAGAAAAGTAACACGATCATTGATTTGAAGTAAACCAGTAACATTTTTACAACATGTTAGAGGCAGTGTTCGATCATTGCTGTCACCACTTCCTGTCAGTAATACGCATGTTCAGAGAGTAGCGATAAGTTTTCTTTCACGTAAATAACCATTGCATTGTAGTTCCTAGTATAAACATGCACTGTGCTATTTAAATCTACTTTTATTTCAAACCACTACATTCATTCCGCATATCACTAGTATTGGTGTCAGTACCATGAAAATGAATACGTTAATTCCACCGTTTCAGCGATCAATATAGAACAAAACTGGTCTGACATCAACGCCCTTCCCAGATTAGAGATTGCTTATCAAGAGAGATCATCTTTCTGGTGTTGAGGTTTTTATGAAATATATACTGATGGTGTTTATGTCAATGTCGGCAAACGTAGTCGTAACATTCTAGACGACCTGGTACATAGAGATATATCTACTTGTTACTATTGTGTTACAGTACTTAGAACTCAAATCCGACTAATCCTTGAGTCGAAATTCTTAAAGAAGAAATTAGGACTAATTTGTGAATGTATTAGTATAACGATTCCAAATGACAGCAATTACTGCCGTTTTACCATGGTCATATACATACAATTAAATAAAATCATGACATTTGACACCAGCATATCGGGAAAGTTAAACATGTAATGTTGCCTTTAATCCAAATACATGTCATAATTCTATGTTAACACAGTTTTAATAAAAGGTTTATCTCTCTCTCTCTCTCTCCCCCCCCCCCCCCCCTCTCTCTCTCTCTCTCCCCTCCCCCCTCTCTCTCCCTGTTGTATCAATGTAATAACCAAAGTGGCTATTTAATCCGTTTTTTTGTCTCTTACTTTAATACTGTAGATGTCACCATGTGACTATTGTTATTGTACTATATTGTATATATATTGATGGGAGAAGTCGATCATAAGTTGGTAAAACTTACAGACCAATCCCTTTGACATGTTATTTTATCAATAAAATGGGTTTAAACTCAAACTCCTTTATTAACACAGTTATAATAAACGGCAGGTTTATAATACATGTAATAATTCTATGTTAACATTTATAATAAACGGCAGGTTTATATATATAATTAACACGATAGTATAAGCTCGTCTCACACATTTCAACCTCAAAAACATATGGATACATTAACTGATCAAGACTTAAGTATTTCATAGTGTAGAAAGCAATAAGTAAACTAATCAATGCAATATTATCGATACATATCATTTAAGTTATAAACACGGATATCACAATATGCTGCTACAGAATATAAATTTGGCTTTGTCAGTAAACACTACCTACATTCAAGACATCAAAGGGATATAGTTTCATAGATATTCTCAAGTGTTGCCCTATTCGCTTTCAATGTATCTCTTATAACTATTCAAATTATTGTAAGCGTTGAAATAACCTTCATGTGGTCATGTTGGACAGGTAAATATAGGTGGAACTCCCCAACCCCCTATCTCTCACCCCATAAACTGCAGCAATCTCCCTTACTGTTTCCCAATGGTGATGCGTGGGTTTTTCTCGCCCATTTCGACATTCTCCTCTCTTTCACTGACGCAGAAACGTCTCGTCCTAAGCGTGCAACCGTGGGAGTCGCCATTTTCTTTCTTTTTTTCTCAGTGTATTACGCAGGTGCAAACTTGTTGTGACGTCATCAGAGCAGCGTGAACATTTGTAAACAGATCTAGCTAGACGTAATAGAATTTCCTCAAATGAATAGCGGAAGTTTATTTTTTGGGAAATCATGTCGTGTGATTTCCATAAGAATAAAATAAGATTATGAAATCCTAACTTGGGCAGAATATCCCTTTAAACGATCTGTGGTATCTGGACGAAAAGCATTAACGCTTAAATACCCAGTTATGTACACCATTAAAGATGTTGAATTCTCCGGTATTTAGACATTAAAAAGTACTTAAAAAAGGGTTAAAGGATGATATCAGTTCATTGGTTTGGGATATTCAAATGTTCGTGCGTAAATTACACGGAGACACATGAACGTAAAAAGTCTCATATCCGAACGTAAGAACGGCGTAAAATAACAATATTCCAAACAAGTAAATGATAAAGACCATAGCCAAGACATTATAAAGGACGATGTCCCCTAAATTTATGATACGTTATATATTACTTAAATGTATATCTAGTATATTTCTAGATTAATTTTAAAATTGCTACCTTAATATGTATGTTCTGCTGTTAATATCACATAATATTTTATGATGAAAAACACAAAGGCTTTGAAGGGCTGGTCAACCTTCTCAAAATCTCCAGGAAAAAGAATTGTTATCTTGTTCTGGCGTTCATCTTTCGGTTTACACGTGATAATGGCGGTTGCAGCACCACTTCTACAATGTCACTGACATACATCAACCATTGTTACCTTACCTAGAATAACAGACCTGACAGGAGAACGTGACAGCTTTGTGAAGACTACAATAATGCCCGTCATTCGATATCGAATTCCGTATATTTCTCCAGTTCTCCAAAGTATTGTCAGGGTATCCACGTCGGATTCCCACGTGTCCCGTGTTTCAATCTGCCATCGGACTGCTGTCACGTCAAAGGAAACACCAAGCATCCTGTGCAATCGGATCCCT